GAGTATGGGCATCCGCGCCCACAACTCCTACATTGCCCACAGCTTCTTCAAAGTTTCCATGAGCATGGCCAGACTCTTGAAGCTCTTCCAGTGATGAGTTTTCTTGATCCCTGTACATGTTCATCATATTAAAAGGAATGCAATCATAATTTTGTTACATATGATTCCCGTGTGACCACTGCGTTTTGCACCAAATAAACAGTGGCAAAAGTGGGGTTAGTGTTCAGACAATCTAACACTCACTCAAAGCTATCCTCATAAATTGTGCAGTCCCACAGTATTTCAACTACAACTGGATTCAGTGCCTTGAATTGTAATGGCTGAGTGCTACAAGTGATATGTGATAGGAAATCGGGGACTAAAGGAGCTTGCAATACCAGTCCAATAGGCGACCTGCGAGAATGCCATCCAAGACATATGTCAGTGTCTGAGTTTGTTTGTTTTTTAATGTAAGTCTGCTCTAATGGTGTATTTGTGTCTTTTGTGCGTTTTCAATGTTTTTTTCAAAATGGTTAAATCAGTTTCCTTTGCATTACCATATCATCAGGGAAAGTACACAGATAAATATTCATTGATTTGGCAGGTTCAAGAACACAAATCCAATGAACTTACCTCTGGAACTCGTTGAAAAAGTCTGGTGATGAATCATAAGGGTCCAGCTCCTGATCATCATGAGGCACTCTGACAAGTAAACATTAATCAGTGCTTGAAGTTATTTGAATTCACTCGTCATCATAAATCATATCTGAATGATAACTAAAGAAACACTGGACATTGATTAACCTTTTCCCTAATCTGGAGACTATGAACATAATTTTACATACCCACTAATCATGCTGAGGATATCTTGTGAGGGTATGTTTCTATGTCCAAGATAATTCTGTTGCTCCAGAAAGTTTGCATCACTATAAAGATATCAGATAAATTATGGACTGATTATGGATTATGAGTACTTGATCTATATTCTCTATAGATAAATATACAACATATCCTGTCAGTGATTATTTATTTATAGCTGATAATTTCAACTACAACTGGATTCTGTGCTTTTTATTGTAATGGCTGAGTGCGCTGATACAACTTTCTCACCGTGGAAGCAGAAAAGAATTGATACTGGGTACTGTGACGGCTGGAGCATTTGGAGTATGGGCATCCGCGCCCACAACTCCTACATTGCCCACAGCTTCTTCACTGGCTAAGTTTCCATGAGCATGGCCAGAATCTTGAAGCTCTTCCAGTGATGAGTTTTCTTGATCCCTGTACAAATTCATCATATTAAAAGGAATGCAATCATAATTTTGTCACATATGATTCCCGTGATGCAGCAAACCAAGTGACAAAAGTGGGTGAATGTTCAGTCAACCTAACACTCACTCAAAACTACCCTCACTCATTGTGCAGTCCCACAGTATTTCAACTACAACTGGATTTAATGCCTTGAATTGTAATGGCTGAGTGCTACAGGTGATATGTTGTTGATGGAGTTCTAAGGAATCGTTTGACTCTGCAGTTACAATAATAGTTACCGGCTGCTCGTTGCAGTGTCTGAAATTTCAGATCCTAGGATGTAACTAGGTCAGGAATATTTTCACTTGACTCTGATAGCTGGAGCCTAGATACGTTTGGAACAAGGCTATTCGGTTAGTGCAAGCGCAAGGATTGTAGCAAGGGGTGGGTGGTCTGGAAGGCCGACCGTTTGTGTAGAATTTATAGTGTTGGGTTGAGTATGCTGCACTGAGGTACTCCGGCATGGAAATGTGCATGGAAATTTATTCAACCGCTTTCGTTTCAACTTAGCACAGCTTACGCTTCAGGCCAGCATGCCAGACCATGCCAAAGGTTTGCTCAACATCATTTGTGAGGCAGAGGCAGAGTTGTTCTTGAGGTCTGAGTGAGTTGGTTTGAGCAGGGGATAGTGCAGCAGCTGTTGTGCTGTAAAAAGATGTAGTGTTCTTGTTCTTGTCGCTAATGCGAAGCATGATCCCTCGCAGATGCAGCATATGATGCTTTCTTAGCATTCTGCAGAAACGTGATCTTTCTCACTGTATCTCTTAGGGTTGACATATGAGCTTTGTATGCTTTAAACGGTAACAGATAAGGCACTACTCTATAAGTATATAGCAAAGGAACAGGAACTCAAAATGCACCATAAGGCAGTCATGCCAAGGTCCCCAAATACTTTCAAGCAGGTGTAGTCCAGTTCACCAGAAGGTGCAAACAGAGTTATCCCAAATCCGAAGAAATTAGTGAGGAAAGAGTTATGAAGTAGGTGTCCTATTGTAAGCTGAAAGCTTCCAATGTAAAGGAGGGCTAAGGTAACATAGAGTGCATCAGAGCAAGGGCCAGGTTGTATGCTCTCTGTCTGGTTACTCACAACAAACAACTTTGAAACTTAAGAGGCCCGGTGTGTTCTCAAAAATCTCTAGATCTCATCTATGAAGTAAGTCGAGAATGTGATAGGAAATCGGGGACTTGCATTACCAGTCCAATAGGCGACCTGCAAGAATGCCATCCAAGACAAATGTCAGTGTCTGAGTTTTTTTCTATGTAAGTCTGCTCTAATGGTGTAACTGTGTCTTTTGTGCGTTTGTAGTGTTTTTTTTTTTCAATATGTTAAATCAGTTTCTTTTGCATTATTATATCATCAGGGAAAGTACACAGATAAATATTCATTGATTTGGCAGGTTCAAGAACACAAATCCACTGTATAAATTATGAACTGACTATGGATTACGAATACTTGATCAATTTTCTTTACAGACAAATATACAACATACTATCCAGTCAGTGATTATTTCTTTATAGCTACCTACCTATTTCGGTATAAGTTTGAAAGTTCCCGAGAGAGTTCATGAAAATCCGCACCAGTATAATGATTGTGCTCTCACTATGACCTTATGATTCAGCCAGAGAATGATGACCTACCTCGATATCTCAAATAAGTATGAACAATAATCGTCATTCTTCGTGAATTATGTTTCCGAATTTAATAATCTGATATGCTGATACGAAAAAGAATAGATAATGGGTACTATGACGGTTTTCTACACAGATCAATATACAACATAGTGTCCTGTCCCTTATTTTCTTATGGGTAATAGTGGTTACAATGTGTTAAGAACAGATAGTGACTGTGTCATGTGCATACACGTATTTGGTTTGTGTATCTATGCCGAACACATTACAAAGTTCTGCTTACCTAATTTGGGGTAAGTTTGAAAGTTCCTGAGCAAGCTCATGGTTTTCTGGTTGTTCACGACTTGGAGGATCCACTGTACTGTAAGAGTTATAACAAAGGTAATCGTTAGTAATGAGCAATCTAAGATTATTTCAGAACAAGTAAGAAAATCAGCACCAGGATAATGATTGTGCTCAGTGGCATAAACCTATGACTTTTGCACAGCCTGAGAGCGATGACCTAGATATCTCAAATAAGTATGAACAAAAATCGTCATTCTTCATGATTTGCATTTCAAAATTAAATAATCTAAACTGCATGATGTGCACATTTCGCGCCCTGGAATGGACAGAAGTACACTAAGCACTATGACGGCTGGAGCATTCGGAGCATGGGCATCCATAGCTCCAATAATGCCCGCCGATCCACCTCTAGTACCCATGGCTTCTAGAACTGCCATGGACTTTCCACTGGCCACATAAAGTATATGACACCATGAAATATGTAGAACATGGTTTTATATTCTACTCTTGACAATTTTATTACATTCGTACTTTGGGTGCCAGTAATGGTTATAAAATGCATGAAATATCAAAATGACTCAAGTAACTATTCATACATTTTCACTTAAGTGAACTGTGATGGTTTCCTATTAAAAACTATTTGCATATACACAAACACAGACAACTGGTTAGCACAAGACAGCTATCGATTATAATTGAATACAGTAATACTGTAGCAGCACGACCCCGTAACCTGAAGCTCTACATACTTCCCAGGTTGGGTCAGAGATTATAGATTATGAATGGCAGTTTAAGGCATTATTATCTTAAGAAATGTGAATACCTATGCATCACATATGATCCTGGATTTTTACAGTATCATTACAGGTTACAGCGGGCGCCCTTGTTCCCTGCACTATTTATTATGTTAAGGGGAATATTACTGGTATCTTATTACTTGTGATCATTATGTTACTGAATGTATATGGTGGCTCTGTACATTCAGTCCAGAAAATCTAACTCTCAAGTTATTCTTATATTCTAAAGATCATCGCCCACGGCGATAGATGTAATGCTTAGCAAGTTAAACTCAATCTTTTACTCCTATTTTTTTTGTCTAACAAGGAAAACGAAAATAAAGCAAGAAACTACATAAACGAGATGATAACAAAGCCGGAAAAAGCACGTATCCTCTACATACAGCCAGGAATTGGAACTAGCAAGACAAGCCAAATGATTTATTCAGCCATTACTCACTCCGTCAGCAGGATCCGTTTAACCTAGTGTTATCCTTCATTGTGTACTGCAGGTAAACAAATAATTTGCTATTACTTGGCCACTGACTGTAATTAGTACATTTGTCTCATTAGTAAACTCTACACATACCATGAGACCATCTGTACAAAATACAGATGTAAATGTATGTAGGTATCGGTATTTACTTCTAAACCTGAAATGTGTGTGCATACATAAACACACACACATAACAATATGACGCTTTCTTTGCTGGTAATAACAAAACCATAAAGCTCGTGGATTATCTCTCTTACCCCTGACTGGAGGAAATGCATCTATATTCTCTGGAAGCATTGGCACCAAAGACACCAAAATCCGGAGCTTCATCGTCACGGTTGGTCGCAGCCGACTCCTGGAGATTCTCTTGGGACGCATGGTGCCCTTCCTCGTCGACACTTTGGGTTTAAAGAATGACAAAAAAATATATATATATATCAATAAGCCTTTTTTTAGAAATGCAAAATTAGTTTTTAAAAGTTATTTGGTATTTCATTAACCTTTTGAACCGTAAAAGTATATCTTTCCTACTGCGTATCAAACTCCCCAGAATGTAAAATGACTCGACACATTTTCATGTATAAATGTATATACACACACATACACACACACACACACTCACATATACATATATATATAAATTCATATATATATATTATATATATATACATAAATTCAAATATATATATATATATTATATATATACATAAATTCAATATATATCATATATATCATATATATACATAAATTCATATATATATTGAATATATATATATATATGTATATTATATATGCATATATAATATGTCTATGTAGACACACATGCACACATATATAAACGTGTGTGTGTGTGTGTGTGTGGCTGTATGCCACGTTGCTCGAAGTCCAGTAAAGAACCAGCGAATCGGCGCGGACTTAATGACGAATTCATCTGACCTTGTTTGGACTCTCAAAATGTGCCTCAGCACATCTCACCAGCCTTCCGCCTCCCCCTAAGGGCTGGACGCTAGACCCGCCAACCTCCCCGCACTCGGCACTTACCCAAGACTCGTCTCGTGTTACCCTTACATGTGTTGTGAGCCGTACTTACGTTAACTATTACTGCTGTTCACTATAACCTCTTACATTCTGGTAGAAGGGTGGTCGTTGCGTCCTTCCGGCTCGCAACGCGGACACACTGTCCGATTTTCGCTCGACCCATCGCTTCCACGACCACTTCAAAACTATATGAGTACATGTTTTGGGCCTCTTTATTTCTTTTCCCTATTTTCTCCCATAAATGTGTTAAGCCGTATGTGCAGTCACTCTTGCATTGGTTTTGTTGGTAAAACTGCTAATTGACAGTAAATGGCACACTCTCACTTTCTTCTGACCTTAGATCGCATTACTGTGTGATCACGGTATGTTGTCAGCAAACATGAATATCGTTCAGTTATGAAGTAGTTAATTAATTTTTCTCATTATTTGAGATTTATATTGTTTCAATTGCAACGAATGTAATGCTTTTGTGATGTTGTGGTTATCACGATTATCATTTCATTTATTTCTATTTTCATCGCGCATTTCCCGTCTTGACTTGACCTCGGAGTGACAGTCATTAATCAGGAGCCCGTCTGAACAGCTGGGTAACCTGACCTCACTTTCTCTCACTTCCGGTCGATTGACACGTGAAATGGCTCGAGAGACAGCTCGCTGTTCCCATTAATTTGGTGGTTTAAAATAGTTTGCACCATAGGAAAGCGTAGCATTGTTGCATTGCTCATTTGGTGATACGTTCCATCGGCGCTGGAACGGATCTTGTAACGCGATTTTATATACATTTATTATTTTGAGCATAGCATTAGTATCTTCCCCATATCATAGTGCACAGGGATGCCTGATTAACCCGGGGTTCCGGGAATCGCCCAATAGATCTACGCTCCGAAGTAACGATAGCAGGTACAGGTATAACTGCATAAAGATCGATGATGTATCTCTTGCCCGCGATTTTGTCACTCGTGACGAGTGACTAGTACATGATTTCTTATTTTTACATACATTTCTTCTCTGTGTCACGACAATTGGTTCAAGTAAATCCTTGCGGATTGCCGTTGTCGTTTCCTTTATTTACTCTATCTATCAGAGACAGTTGGTAGTTCAAGCCAAGTCTTTGCGGATCGCCTGCCTGGACGCCCGCAGATCTGGTCAAACTCCAGGAGCTCGTCAGCGCAGGTATCAGCCGCCCTGAGATGCCGAATAGGACGCCTCCTGTCGGGACGCCCGTAGATCCCGACGAAGATTACGAGGACGTCCGTATGAGCGCGCAGCCGAGTTGGACTTGGACGAGATCTACGAGGACGTGCATTGGGCGAGGACGCCGCCGAGTTGGGCCTGGACGAGGACTACGAGGAAGTCTGGACGAATCCGAAGTCAAGGTGGACCTGTGGGAGACCTTCGAGGACGTGAGGAATTCGTGGATGGATGGATTTATCAAGGACCAGGATGAAGACGACATGGACGAGCAGCCACAAAGATGCATCAGGGACAACGCACGCGAGAACGAAGTGACCAGCAAGTCAGGCCCAGCCAAGTTGGGTCACCCTCGAGGCAAATCTAAGGTGTCGCGAGGCTCGAAGTCCAGTAAAGAACCAGCGCATCGGCGCGGACTTAATGATGAGTTCATCTGACCTTGTTTGGACTCTCAGACGTGCCTCAGCATCCCCGGGCTCAGGTCATCTCACCAGTCTTCCGCCTCTCCCACAGGGCTGATCGGCGGACTCGCCGACCTCCCCACACTCGGCACTTACCCAAGACTCGTCTCGTGTGTTACCATCACTTGTTGTATTCTTCAGAAATAAAGAGTCAGCCGTTATAAACAACTATTACCATCCTGCTGTTCACCATGAACCTTCTACAGTGCGTACATACCCACGCACACTGAGCCACCCTGGTCTGCTGGGGCCTCAATCGCGCTGCGACATCATTTTGCTATTATACATTCTCCATTAGCGCTAATATCAAGTAAATTAACTTAAATTAACAGCGGTTTCTCTTTTCTGCTTATTGATGGTGACACAGGAATACTACGGTTTCTCTTTTCTGCTTATTGATGGTGACACAGGAATACTACACCTCTCCCCAGACCCGCAGCTCTCTCTCTATCACAGGGAAACCTGTATAGGGAGGCCCAGCAGTCTGAGGTGAGATTTAGGTGTATTTTTCCTCCTAAACTCCTAAACTCCCCGAGACGAGGAGCAATTCACCATGGTCATGTCCACCAAACTCCATGAACACCTAATACAGGGAAACATCCTAATAAACAACATGATGATTGAAAGATACCCTGACATAAACAAAATGCTAAGTGAACATCTTGCTGTAACATGCATGAACACATCACACAAACATGATATATAACACATCACTACACTCACGCCTCACAGTCATCCAACACAATGTACTACACTGGACAACACGAAAAAACGAACTCTGCAACACATACAGGAAACACGACCCTCATATCATCCTCATAAACAGCCATGGGCTCAATAACACCACTCCACTAAAGATCATATATAAATATATAAATATATGTATATATATAATAATAATAAACATATGTGTGCGGGTGTGTGTGCGTGTACGTGTCCATGTGCGAAGTGTGTGTGTGTGTGTGTGTGTGTGTGTGTGTGTGTGTGCGTGTGCGTGTACGTGTCCATGTGCGAAGTGTGTGTGTGTGTGTGAGTGTGCGTGTGTGTGGGTGCGTGCGTTCGTGCGTGTGTGTGTGTGTATGTGTGTGTGCGTATTTGTGTGTGCATATTTGTATGTGTGCGTATTTGTGTGTTGTTGTTTGTGTGTGTGTGTGTATTACATATTATATATATTAATACGTATACATATATACATACATATACACACACATAGAAGCATACATACTTATATACAATATGTATATGTACATCTATCTATATCCATCGATTTATATATCTATTTATCTATACATACATACATACATTCACACACACACACACTACACTGTGTACTATATCGGTATTATATGCCTGCGCAGCGACCACTTGGATGCTTGCACCAGCTGCGTGATGCGCCCACGCTAACTACCCGTCGGGTTGGGGTACACTACCTACCCTCGTCCCCAAGCCAACGCTCGGATACTTAAGGCCTGCAGGTGACAAAGCCGGAAAAACCACGTATCCTCTATATACAGCCAGGAATTGGAACTAGCAAGACAAGCCAAATGATTTATTCAGCCATTACTCACTCCGTCAGCAGGATCCGTTTAACCTAGTGTTATCCTTCATTGTGTACTGCAGGTAAACAAATAATTTGCTATTACTTGGCCACTGACTGTAATTAGTACATTTGTCTCATTAGTAAACTCTACACATACCATGAGACCATCTGTACAAAATACAGATGTAAATGTATGTAGGTATCGGTATTTACTTCTAAACCTGAAATGTGTGTGCATACATAAACACACACACATAACAATATGACGCTTTCTTTGCTGGTAATAACAAAACCATAAACCTCGTGGATTATCGTGGATTATCTCTCTTACCCCTGACTGGAGGAAATGCATCTATATTCTCTGGAAGCATTGGCACCAAAGACACCAAAATCCGGAGCTTCATCGTCACGGTTGGTCGCAGCCGACTCCTGGAGATTCTCTTGGGACGCATGGTGCCCTTCCTCGTCGACACTTTGGGTTCAAAGAATGACAAAAAAAAAAAAATATATATATCAATAAGCCTTTTTTTAGAAATGCAAAATTAGTTTTTAAAAGTTATTTGGTATTTCATTAACCTTTTGAACCGTAAAAGTATATCTTTCCTACTGCGTATCAAACTCCCCAGAATGTAAAATGACTCGACACATTTTCATGTATAAATATATATACACACATACACACACACATATATATATATATAAATTCATATATATATATTATATATATACATAAATTCAAATATATATATATATATATATATATATATTCATAAATTCAAATATATATATACATAAATTCATATATATATTGAATATATATATATGTATATTATATATGCATATATAATATGTCTATGTAGACACACATGCACACATATATAAACGTCTGTGTGTGTGTGAACATCTTGCTGTAACATGCATGAACACATCACACAAACATGATATATAACAC